CGGCAAATCCCTAAAAAACACATTGACAATCAGCATCGAAGTTGACATATAACCTCAAATAAATAAATCCCTTTATACTTGATCACAATGTAGAGTATATATACCACTTTTTAGGGATTTGCCTGTGAGTTTTCTTGACTCATTAGCTTGAATTTTGTTGTAACGGTGATGCCTCATTCTGATGATGTCCGTCACATGATGGACGAAAGCTTAGCACGTTTTCACAGAAATAGAAGGAGATTGCCTCAGAAACAGCGTCATCATGTATGCTCCAGTAAAGCCAATCGACAGCTGGTAAAGAGGAATCCGCCGTCGTCTTCTGGTGGAACCGACCTTCGAATCTCTTCACCCAACACTTCCACTCGGCATGGAAGTAAGCTGAACAATGTGAGCTCTATTCTGACTATTCTTCTTCATCTGTCGCTCTACTTTCACGCTTTCCGGCCAGACTGGACCGGGCAACTTACTCGACCTTGCAGTGTTGAGCTCGCTCTGAGCCTCCGCGAAAAGACTACGCGGAGTTGATTGGCCCGAACATCTTCCCAACGTTGCCCACTGCTTGCGAAGACGATCCAGCCGGCCTGGGGTACCGGACGGCCAACGCCAGGCCGGTGAGACTGGGCCGGCCAAGTCTGCTGGCCGATTGTGAGGCTTGGCCAGATTTTGCACGGAATGGTGTCCAACTCTTCTAGAGTTCATCTTCAGCTGAAGAGACGCTTGTTGCATGCTCTCAATTCTCTCCATCTCATCTTCGTCATCGTCCCGACCATTGCCCTCTTCTTCTTCCTCCTCCTCTGCTTCGCGATTCATCTTGCTCAACTCTACGCTTGTCTCCTTGGTTCCGCTGCCTCTCAAGCCTCCAATAAGGCTCATCTGCCTGACATCGGCGCATGACGCTCGGATAGTCTCATGGGCCTCGCAGGTCGCCAGGCCTGTCTCCAGCACAAACGTCTTCTGGTCAGCACCGACGGCTGCGATCCTATCGCCAACCAATCCACCGCCTTGTTTGACAGAGTCGTGCAGTCGAGGGTGAAGTCTGCCCGACAGTACAGTGTGATTAGACGTCTTGGAGTCGCCTCTATTCTGGATATCGGTTTCTCTGACGGACACCGACGTCTCGAGGCTGCCATGTTGCCGCCCCGTAGCAGGGTGAGATGAGACAGGTTAAGATGGCGAAATGGTCTTTATCAGTGTGAAGACGATTTATTAGCGTTAACATATTGGTGAGTTGAAAAAGACTCTTCATTGCGCTAAAATGCATATACAGAATAGGTCAATTTAGTGGATGCC